TATTTAAAATATACTATTTAAAATAGTAAATATGTTCATTTACTAATATTATTTAAATATTCTATTGGTTGGCTTTTGTTTTTTTGAGACCGGTTTCTCTATGTAGCCCTGGCTGTCCTGGAACTCACCCTGTAGACCAGGCTGTTTCTACCTCTTGAGTGCTCAGATTAAAGGCACGCACCACTGTTGTGGGAGCAGCAGGGCAGGGCTGCGTTCTGACAGTCCAGCCGCCCACACGGCTAGCTTATGCCCCGAAATAATTACACGGAAACTGTATTCTTTTAAACACTGCCTGGCCCGTTATCTGTAGCCTCTTATTGGCTAGCTCTTACATATTAATCTAACCCATTTCTAATAATCTGTGTAGCCCACGAGGTGGTTTCCCAGAGAAGATCTTAACCTGCATCTGCATGGCGTGGGAGAATCATGGCACTCCCTGACTCAGCTTTTTTCCCCAGCATTCTGTTCTGTTTACTCCACCCACCTAAGGGTTGGCCTATCAAGGGGCCTAGGCAGTTTCTTTATTAATAAGAAATCACTCCCACATCACACCACCATCGCTTTATAGCTAAATATGCTATTTATGCCGATTGATCAAATTTATTTATATACTAACTATATACATTAGTTATTACTAATAATAGTAACTACATACACAGAAAAATGAGAGCAATTACAGAACCAGAGACTATTTCAATTTGTATGCATATTGTAAAAAATTGTGATAGAATTTTCAGTAATGTATTTCAAGCATCAAAATATGATACAATAAGTTATAATCCGTTGCGAAATTGGAATATAAACATGAATCCAAGGAGAAAAGAAGATGATGTGGAATTTGTGGTAGTAAAAGAGTTGGGGGCTGTAGCTGGGTGGTGGTGGTGCCCGCCTTTAATCTCAGCACTTGGGAGGCAGAGGCAGGTGGATCTCTGTGAGTTCCACGCCAGCCTGGTCTACAAGAGCTAGTTCCAGGGCAGGCTCCAAAGCTACAGAGAAACCCTGTCTCAAAAAACAACAAAACAAAAAAAGGAGCTGGGGGCTGCAATAGTTTAGTGGGTAGGAACTGCTCGTCTGGCTGACCGGATCTGCGTGGGAGGGAGTCCCCGTCACCCACAAAGAGAGCATGGCTATGTGTGCTGTAATCCCAGAATTCCCAAGAGCTTTCAGCTGAGGGAGGGACTGCGTCTCAAGGGCCGAGGTGGGGAGTGGGAGAGGACACAGTTGACACCCTTACGGACCTGCACACGCATGCGCATATATCATACACAAACACACACACACACACACACACACACGGGAGAGAGAGTGCGGCCCAAGCTATGCCCTGTGTCAAAGGATGGGTCGTGGGGATCTCTTCTCTGCTTCCGCGATGTGGATCCCTGGAATCAAACTCGGGTCGTCAGACTTGGTGGCAGTGCCTTTGTCTGCAGAGCCATCTCACCGGCTGGATTTTAGATATTTTTCAGAGCATACCATGGTCAGTGAAGATCTGCATGGTATTTGCAATCTTTTGGTCACGTATGAGTGATCTAGCAGTTTAACTTTAAACAATGTCAATAGGTATTATACACCCCAAATCACATGCCTTGCCATTGATCAAGTTTACGGTAAGGACTAGAGAAATGGCTCATAGGTTAAGTGGGTGTGCTGCTCTTTCAGGAGACGGAAGTTCAATTCCCCGCATCCATGTCTGTCGTGCGCGCGCGCACTTAAACAATTAAAAAACAAATCTGAGAAAAGATGAAAATCGGAAAATGTGAGAGAGAATATAAGGCTTTCCAAGCTGATTTTATGAGCTATGCAAGTAAAACCCGAAGACAACTTGCTCAGTAGCCAGGCCTCAGACCTCAGGACCGAGTGGCACCCTGTTTATATCGTCAGTGGAAACCTGTTTATATCATCTGCCCGAAGATGAGCTCCACCTTTAGGCTTGTCCCAATCTGTTCTATTGTTTTCCTCTTCAGTAAGCAGAGAGCAAGGAACCCGCCACCTGGGAATCTCCATCATCGGCCACTACTCAATAACAAAGAAGCAATCTTCTGAAACGTTTAGCTTTAAATAACTCCAAAGTGTAGAGACTCACAAGCCTAGGACTCTAGGCCAGGCCTTCTCTGGCGACAAGTCCACCTGGGATGTGCCGTAGACTCTGCCCACATCAGCCCGTTTTCCAGTTCTGAAACAGTTACCGTCCCCAGTCCCCGACTAGGCTTTCTTCTCAGCAACTGCCTGGTTCTCAGAGTCAGGCATCTGTGACCCTGCTCCTGGGTGGCCCTAGGTTACCTCAGGAGGGGGTGTGAGACAGAAAAAGGAGAGGGAGCCTGACTTTGACAGTGGACTCTAGCAGGGAATTCTTCTCCCCCAGTGTTCCGTTTAGCTTCCCAGGGAGCTCTTCGCCCTGGTCCTGTTCTTGCTTCCAGTTTCAGGCAGCCTTGAACCCGCACTGGCGCGGTGACGGGGAGAAAACTGAGACTTCCTTCTTCCTCAGCGTGATTTCAATTCTGCTGCTCCTTTTCAGTACATTTATTGCCGTCTCATTTGTAGTTTATTTAGTTACTTTATAAGTTTTATTTATTTTATTTTCTGTGTATAGTGTTTTGCCTGCAAGGGTGTCTGAGCACCATTTGAGTGACTGGTCCAGCGGAGGTCAGAAGAGGAGACAGGTCCTTCGGGACAGCATTTGCCGGTTGTGAACCACCATGCAGGTGCTGGGAATCGAACCTGTGTTCTCCGCAAGAGCAATCAAGGGCTCTTCAGTGCAGAGCCACATTTCTGGTCAATTATTTTTATTTTTAAAGATATTATTATTCTGATTCTGGGGACTCTGCGTGTGTGTTTAAGACAATGTCTTCCCACCCACTGAGACAGTGGGGCTGATCTATTGGGAGCTCACCAAAGCCAGCTGGACTGTGACTGAAACAGCATGGGATAAAACCGGACTTTCTCATCATGGCGAACAATGAGGACTGATGAGAAGCCAAGGTCAATGGCAAGGGGTTCTGATCCTACTTCATGTTCCGGCTTGGTGGGAGCCTAGCCAGTTTGGATGTTCACCTTCCTAGACATGGACGGAGGGGGGAGGACCTTGGACTTTCCACAGGGCAGGGAACCATGAATGCTCTTTGGATTAGNGAGGGAGGGGGGGAGGAGTGGGGGGAGGGGGAGAAGAGAGGGGGGAGGGGGAGAAGAGTGGGGGGAGGAGGAGGGAAATGGGAGGCTGGGAGGAGGCGGAAACTTTTTTTTTCTTATTCTCAATAAAAAAAAACAAAAAACAAAAACAAAAAGACAATGTCTTGCTATGGAGAGCTGGCTGGCTTGGTGTCTGCTTGGTAGCCCAGGCTACCCCTAAACTTGCTGTAGTCCCGCCTCAACCCTCTGAGAGTTGGGATTACAGGCTTGCACTACCATGGCTGGAATTAGGATTAATCTCTCTATGGGCTGGAGACCTCTTTAGGAAGATGGTAGTGATTTATATTTCTAAGATATATGAAAACACCTGTCTCCTCACAGCCTCGCCAGTCATTCTCACTGCTCATATTAATTCATTTGCTAGATGAGAGATAATACTTGCTTGTTTCAACGTGCATCTCTTTAATTGCTAGTGAGGGGGGTGGTTTCCCTGTCTCTGGTGGCTGCGTTTCCTCTTCTGTGATTTTCCCTGTCTCTGGTGGCTGTGTTTCCTCTCCTCTCATTCATGGCCCATCTATTTCCTTTGTGTGTGTGTGTGTGTGTGTGTGTGTGTGTGTGTGTGTGCACCCGCGTGCGCACATGCGACTTTTAAAACATCTGACGTTTCATGTCAATTAGGAAAATCAGCCACTGAAATTAATGAAGTATAATAAAGCCTTATATTCCAGTTCCGAGATGATGTCATCGCTCTAGTTGAGGTTTTCTTAGGGACTTTTTGACAAAATCATGCAAAAAATTGAAATGGAAAGAGACACCAAAGCCTAAACTAAGGTAACGGCCCAAGATTCCTTCTTCCAACTTAATTTGTTTTTAAAATGTGTATTTGTTTTAGGTGTGAGTGTATATATGTCCAAGTATGCGTATCACGTGTGTGTAGAACCCTGAGGAGGTCCGTATGCAGCCCCAGGAACCGGAGTTACAGACAGCTGTGAACCTGTGGTGCTGGAATGGACCCCAGGGCCTTGGCTACTGCGGGACGCCCCTGAAGAGTCCCCCAGCCTCTCCAACTCTTAGCCAAGTATTGCAAGTGCTCTTCTTCCTGCCTGCCCGCCCCCCTCCGGCGGAACTGCCAGAAAAGCAGACCAGCAGACATGCGAAGGGGGAGCACAGACCACCAAAGTCAGCAGGAATGGCGACCCGCCCAGGCTGACGCAAAACACACTTGTTTCTTGTTTGTTTGTTTTTTTTTTTTCTCCCCCGGCTTTAAGTGGGAGCAACGGTGTTTCTCCTAAGACTTCCAGGCTGGAAGTTTCTCATGGCTGTTTTTCCTCCTGGGGTCTTGCTAACCTGGGAAATTCCCAGTTTCCCCTGGGTTCCATCTGTGGACTGGAACACAGGATGGAAAGGTCTGAAAAGCTGTTGACTAAAAGGTGAGTGATGTGGGAGTGTCATATATCAATCTGTTGATTTCATTGGTTAAGCAATAAAGAAACTGCTTGGCCCTGATAGGTTAAAACATAGGTGGGAGGAGTAAACAGAACAGAATGCTGGGAGGAAGAGGAAGTGAGGTAAGACTCCTCAGACAGACTCCATAGCTGCTCTCTGAGGCACACGCGATGAAGCTCCAACCCAGGATGGATGTAGACTAGAATCTTCCCAGTAAGTGCACCTAGCGGTGCTACACAGATGATTAGAAATGGGCTAAATTAATATGTGAGAATTAGCCTAGAAGAGGTTAGATAGAAATGGGCCAAGCAGTGTTTAAATGAATACAGTTTGTGTGTTGTTATTTCGGGGCATAAGCTAGCCAGGCAGCCAGGGTGCTGGGGGACGCAGCCCCACCACTCCTATTACAACAGGTGAGGACTCTGTCTCCGTCTCTGGTGGGAGTGGACTCAGCCTCACCATCTGTAAGACCCTCAGGGCCTGAATGGCTCCGTAGTGAGGCTCCAAGATGTAAAGCCAGGGCACGGGCTGCTGACAGCTCTGCTCCCAATCAACACTTAACTTCACTAAGCTGTCCGCGTGTTTAATCTTTAGCAAATCGTGGGAGCCTTTGGTCTCAGATGGGTAAGAAAAGCAAATTATACGTCCTGATGTGACTCAGACCTGCGCGCAGCTCTGTAGATTCACTTTTATTTTTGTTCTAATTACAACACAGACAGAGGGAAGGTTTACAATTACACCTTTCGGAACCAGTCATTATTTAGTTACTATGCATTTCAACAATAATGCTCATGTCTATAAAAAAAATTGCCAGGTTCTATTATTATTGCCTTGGCCTAAATATAAATTTCAACACAGTGGTGATAACTGGCTTTTGGGGTTTTATTTTTAGTTATTTTCCTGAAGCCGTGATAATTTAGAAGATGTATTCTGTGTGCCCAGAGGCACCTGTAACCATACGTGGAATTATGTAACTAGAGGTACGAGCTCCTCACTCTTTTTCCCTTCTCCCCTCCCTCCCACCTCACTTCATGGGGATATACTAGAAGAAAAACAAGCATGGGGTTCTCTGTTAAGATAAAAGCGGTCAAAGGTCCTCCTTCTTTCTGAAATCGTTGCGATAGCATCATCTGACTTGGCTTTGTAGTGTATTCTTTTTCTTTTTGTTTGAGACCGTGTCTCACAATATAGCCCTGGCTGGAGCTCACTGAGTAGAGCAGGCTGGCCTCAAACTCACTTAAAGAAACCCACATACCTCTGCCTCCTGGGTGCTGGGATTAAAGGCTCTTGTCGTCCCACTCCTCCTTAGAATGCTCTTAACAACAGCACTTGCGACATTAAAATCCAAGCTGGAAAACGCCACTTCCGTGCTCATAGTCCTCACAGGGCCTTTCCTTCTCAGCCCTGTCTCTCTTCCTACCCCCTTGGTCACTCAGTCCCCCACAGTCGCAGGGTCTCTTCTTCATCAGTGTTCATGAGTGGCTTCCTCTTTTCCTTGGATCTGGTCACCTCGGTGGAGTCTCTCGGCTGCTTCTTTTAAAGCACGTGCGCCCTCTCATCTCCTTTAGCGATCTCTGCCACCATCTCACACACAGCATGCTTCTTCACCTGTTTGCTGCCTCCCCTTTAGAATGGGACCCAGTTCCCATGGGGCAAGGCAAGAGCTTTGCCTGCTCCAAACCCGATACCCAGGAGAGGACTTGTCTCACAGTAAGTGCTAAGGAAATGTTTGCCCAATGAGTGAATCAAACAAAGATACACTGTGGCCTTGTTTGATTTGCAACATTGCACAAATAGCAAATTTTTCATTAAAACTTTACCAAAAAAGGTCAGAAACTTTTGAATTGTCTAATGATGACGACTGTCCTTTTAATGTAAGATTAATGTCTTCTCTTATTCTCCTTCCTCAAATGTTTGGTCTGCCAACTTTCTGCTTTTCTTTCTGTCTTTTCTCTACACAGGTATCACCAAGACAGCCTGCTTCAGTTTCTTGTCTTAGTTCATATATATATATATATATATACTCTATGAGCACCTACATCTGCTTCTGTGGCTCCCATCATCCCTCGGCCTTAGATTTCCAACTTACACGTCCAGTGCTGACGCCGAGCCCCATTCAAGTTTTAAAACCTCCCATGTAAAACCAGATTTATCTTTTTCCCTTAAAACTGGATCCTGTTCCAGCAATCTGTTCTGCTAATGGTGTTACCTTCTTCCAAATGTGGAAACATCTCGAGGCTCATAGCCATACAATGTTACATCATCTGGCTTCACACTGTCAAGTCTGTTGCCTCTCTGGAGAAGGCCTCCTTCCCTTTTGTTATGTGAGACCCTGTATTTCAGCACGCCCTGAATCAGCTGCCAGCACCGGCCCACTGACCACACTCTGGGCTAACGGTTCAGCTGAGGCTAGCCTTTCCTCCCTAGTTCATGGCTAAAGACTTAATTCTCTTGCAGAAATAGAGACCCGATATTGTCCAGTTTTGCTTTTAAAAAGAAAAGGCTCTTTCTAGTTTATAGAAAATTCAGCTAGTCACAGACAGAAATGAAAACGTTCAAATCAGCACTGTTGAGATGGGTCTGTGGGTAAGCGTGCTTACCATGCAAACCCGATGACATGAGATCAATTCCCAGAACCCCCCTGTGGCAGAGGTGAGCCCACAGGCACAAGCATGCATCATACATACATGTGCACACAGGTACAATAATAATAAATAAAAATTTAGGTCAACCATAGTGATTAATTTAGAATTGACCCTTGACATTTTGAAGTATATCTGTGTAGTTTTCTTTCTCTGAGTATAAATGTCTGTTCAATTTTTAATAATATTTTTAAACCATCAAGGGATCATTTCTATCTTTTTTCGTTGTTGTTGCCCAGTGTGTAAATCTGCTCGCTGAGTCCACTGGACTTCCGTGATGCTGTTTTTATATGACCGCTCTTACAGGGGAGCCTACAGACCTGGTGCAGCCGAGCAGATGCATCCTCTCTGGACTTCGATTCCGGAGCTGTTGACTCAGAGTCCCAGGGATGACGCAGAGGCCACTGTGGCCAGGCACAGCAGCTAGGGCAGCTGCATCCGGTTTCCAGTCGAGGAGGAGACAGCTGTTATGAGGCAGTATGCAATGTCCTGCGTCCAAAGACTTGGCAGTGTGAGCCATGGGGTCAGTCCTTGGCGGCTGGGGTGATGACCTCCTGGGAGCAGCCCTGTGGAATGCTTGGGTGTGGCTTTTTTTTTTTTTTTTTTGGCCTGAATGATTCTCCTTCCCACCTTTGCTTCTCAAATTAGCTTAAAAGTTGACTTAATTCATTAGCCACAAAAACTAGGGTGTCAACAAGAGCTAGCTCTTAGATAGTGCCTTCTGTGTGGCAGGTGCTTGTCTGAATACCTTGTATATCTTAACTTGACATTTTTACCGCAACCCTAGGAAAGAGAGATGGGCATTAGCCCCATTTTATGGATGATGAAACTGAGCTACAGGGAGACTAGGTTACTCAACCACGGCTACCCAGCTGACGCTCAAACCCCATCACTCTGGCCTAGTTCTTGGGAGCCTCGACTGAGTCACACCTTGTTTTATAACTTGATTTCTTTTCATGTAACACATTTAATGAGCGTTTCATTTTGTTAGATATTCAGCTAAGATGCATACTGTTCAAAGGGTGACTCACTATTTAAGCAACTCCCTATTGTTAAACATTAAGGACATCCCAACGGATAAACTTTTTATTTTAATTTTTAGGTGACCATACAAAGTCACAGATGGCTTCGTCAAGTCATTTTAACACACAGTTGTCACTTGCTTTGTTATCATTTGATCCCTGCTATACCGTGGCTTAACATGCATGACTTATTTCCTTGCAATAAAGTCCCAGAGGTGGGATGCTGGGCCAAAGCAAAATTTAATTACCTTCTAGAATGATAATCTGTTTTTTTAATACACAGCATTATCTATGAGTTATTGACATTGAACATCTAAGTGGGTTTTGTGTGTGCATCTCATGAAAAAAAATGACAGATCTTTCCCTTTTAAATTTGGAATTCTTTAAACATTTAAAAACACAATTTTAGGGACTGGAGAGATAGTTTAACAAGTTAAGTATGTGACAGAGATGGGAGTCTGATCCCCGGAACCAACGTCAGAAGCCTGTGTTGCTGGCCTGTGCTTATAATCCCAGCACAGGGGAGAGAGAAGACGGGGCTCCCTGGGAGCTTGCTGGTTAGCTCATCTCAGTGACAGACTCTGCTTCAGAATCCTGAGTGGATGGCTTCTGAAGAATGCTACAGACCTGCACACGTGCAAGCATGCACACTTGGTCATACATGTGCGTTCTCCACATGAACACATGCACACACAAAAATTTTGCCCATTTATTCGGTCACTTTGCAAATGGTTTTCATAATCATCTATAATGCTGAGACTACATCAAGACTCTTTTTGCCTCTTTTGTTTCTCAAGACAGGGTTTCTCTGTATAGCCCTGGTACTTGCTTTGTAGACCGGGCTGCCTTCAGATTTACAGAGGTCCACCTGCCTCTCCATCCTGAGTGCTGGGGATTACAGGTGTGTGGTTCCACGCCTGATCTAGATAACTCCTTAGTTGAGACTGCCACGTGAGTTCAGGTTGTGTCAAGCTAGAACTCACCAGCACACGCACTTTTTGGAAAAGTGTCAGAATAGAGGAAACAAGAAAATAGTTTCAGCTTAGAATTGTGTGTCTAATCCCTTGTAAATTGTATGAGTAACGTCTCAGATCTGGCTCATCTTTTTCATCGACATGTGCGGTCCTCACCATTCCTAGGTTGACTTCAGATAGACACTGATACATGGAGCATTATGAACAATCCTTGAGAATACGGAAGTGTGGGGCTGAAAGAAAGCCCAGCCAATTAAAGGCACGCACTGCTCTTGCCGAGGACTGTCATTTAGTTCCTAGGACACATGGCAAGTAGCATAGAACAGCTTGTAACTCCAGCTCCAGGGGTGGTGTAAGAGGTTCTTCTGTTTGTGTGTTGCTTTCATTGGTTGAATGAAGAGACTGCCTTGGCCTTTTGATAGGGCAGCCCCTTAAGTGGGCGGAGCAGACAGAACAGAATGCTGGGAAGAAGGGAAGTGTGGCAGAGGCCATGATTCTCCTGCCCGAGATGGACGCTGGTTAGATTCAGGCCGGTAAGCCACAGTCAGGTGGCAATACACGTTAATGGAAATGGGTTAATCAAGATGTGAGAGTTAGCCAATGAGAGGCTAGAGGTAATGGGCTAGGCAGTAATTTAATTAATACAATTTCTGTGTGGTTATTTTGGGTATAAGCTAGCCGGGCGGGATGGAACAAAGGGCCCGTGCTCCTCCTCACAACACAAGGGATCTGATGCATTTGGCCTCTGAGGATACCTGAATTTATATGTATGTATGTATATGTATATATGTATATCCACATATAGACACCCATCCAAATATGTAATTGAAAATAATCTTTAAAACTGTTGGCAAGTAGAAGGAATTTGTCACTAAGAATCATATATATAATTCCATTGTGTGAAATGCACTGATTCTATAGACAGAAAATAAAGGAACGATTGCCTACAATAGCTGTTGTGGGATATTTGATCACACTGCGAACACTGAGATTGTGTTGTTTTCTGGAAAAACCTGCTCCGAGTTATGTTGTGGCTCAGACTTGGCACACACCTTTAATCCAGGAACTTTCTGCTTGAATGTTGTAAACAGGGTTAAATAAAACCAGCCGTAGGTTCAGAGGCTGAACAAGCAGCCAGTTGACAGGAAAGAACCATAGAGAGTAAGGGGAAGTTGGGAGGACAAGGGAGAGAGACACACAGGAAGCAGAAGAGAGGGAGATCGGTTGGAGGAGCTTTGGTTTGAGACAGCGTAGGAGAAAGGCTCTTTCTGGGGTGACGGCAAAGGATGAAGCAGTGGGGTGCTTTCTCTGCCTGTCTAAGCCAGCAGGTTTTCACCCCACCATCTGGCTTCCAAGTCTTGACTGATAAAATAGAACATTAGAGACAAAATTAAAAACAACACGTGGCTAACAGGAAAACAGTTTCTTTGGGAGGCAGTTAAAATATAATCAATTTAAATCTAATGTTATTGTTTGTTTTTGTCTTTTGACACAGGGTTTCTTTGTATAGTCCTGGCTGACCTGAACTCACTCTGTAGACAAGGCTGGCCTACAACTCACAGAGATCTACCTGTCTCTGCTTCCCGAGTGCTGGGGTTAAAGGCTAAAGGCATGCACCACTACCACCTGCCTTAAATCTAGTGACTCTTAATGGTAAAGGCGCCACCTAGCCAAAGCCCCGTGTAGACCGCTGAGAACAACAGTGAGAAATGGTACGGGAGAGTAGGTCTGCTCATTCCAGCTGTCCTGGTGGGGTGGGGGGAGGCTCCTGGCTCAACACACGACATGCAAACCAGCACAAGCTCAGCTTCTGTAAACTGGAGAAATCTGTAACAAGGCACTTGGTAGCTTGCGATGTCTGCCCTTCTCAGAGTGTTGGCTTTGTCCCCACAACTGAAGACCAGTCTCCAGACGTTACACACCTGCGGGGAGGAGGGGGAAGAGGTAGCAGAGGACCTACAAAGGCTGTCGTGATCATCTGGAAGAGGAAGAAGACGCCTAACCAGGTCAGGGTCCACCATGGTTGAGAGCATCAGATTCAAACAGTCCGTGAGCAAGGCAAGACCTTTCTAGGAAAAATATGGTCTGTTTCTTAAGACAACCAATGAAAACAGAGGCTGTGGTTTGTCTTCATGGATGTGGTAGGGGTTGGAGAAGTTTGGCTGCTCACCAGGTTTGAGGAGGGGTCAGATATAGATAGTTCTTTTAATATTTTTTTCCCCCCAGACAGGGTTTCTCCGTGTAGCTCTGGTTGAGCTGGAACTTGATCTGTGGAGCAGGCTGGCCCTGGCCACGTGGCTCACTGACAGGGAGCTGGAGTCTGCCTCCTCTCTACCGCCTACCCTCTCTTCTTTATATACTCCCCCGGGAGCAGAAGGGAGCGAGCTTTTCCTTCACTTGCCCTATGGTGACACCCTACTCCCATAAACCCCGAATCCTTATATCAACATCTCATAAAATAAGCAAACAGATAATGACAGTAAGCCCTGCGAATTGGATTGCAGAAGGGAAAGAAGAAAGCATTTGAAAAATAATTGGAATTTCTGCACCGCTCTGTTTTGAATGCCAGAAGCCAAGTATTAGGTTCATCTTTGGATCCTCTTTAGGAATTGCTAATTTCCACCCTTTCTGTGAAATGGATGTCCTGACCCGACCGTGCCAGCGATCCAGGGCAGTAAGAGAAGAACCATGTCAGAGAATTGTATTACCCAGTGACTAGCGATCCTTTGGGACCCGCCAGGAAACGGTTCCTGCTGTCCAGGACACCCAGATCTGCAGATGCTCAAGTCCTTTCAATAAAAAGGGATAGCGTTTGCTCATAATGCGCAACTTCACATCCTGTAGGTCCTCTCTACATTACTTATGCCACCTAATACAACCGCATGCTGTGCGCGTGTTCATTGCTTCAGTCTACATATGTTTGGTCTCCGCTGAGCTACCTCAGTACATCCTGAAGCCCAGCACACAGTGGTCGCTTAGCGGGCAGAATGCATTTGTATGGATGTGACTGAGGCAGGGTTGGGTGGGGAGAGTTTGCCTGGGGGCGGGGAGCAGCGTGGAGATTTCCTTGTCTGCCTGTGTTCCTTGTTTAGTCAGAGGTCGATGGAGAGGTAGTTTTTTCATAACCCAGTGCTCTTTGCTTGAGGTCAGTTCAGACCACTGTCAAGTGCCTTCCCAGATGCAGAGAATCCCGCGAAGTGGACAAGAGTCCTGGCCAGAATGCCCTGACAGGTGATTATTCTGTCTTTGTTGGCTCACTTTTTGACCAGACACTTCATTTTTTAACTGGTCTCACCATTTCTTCACGCTGCTGTGAAATCTGCCTTCTGGAACTTTCCCCGTTTGTTTGGGTCCCACTCTCTGAAGTTACAAAGAATGTGTCCGTTGGTTCAGCACGACAGTTCTTCAAACACTTGGAGACAGCCATCACATCGCCTACCTGAATTTTTCTCTTTCGCAGGTAGAGTAACTTCAGGTCCTTCTATTGAAGTTCTATACACAGTATATTTACCCAGAAAATGTGTGAGAAACATCTCTAGGACCTCAGACACAGCTTAGTTGTTTAGTTGGTTTATTTTTTCTTGTATTTGTTCCAGTGAAGAAATAATTATTTCTCACAGTAATGACAAATGCTACAACACAGAGGCACGTAGCTCAGCAGAGACGCGCACTTGGGAACTCAAGGCTGTCTTTGGTGTGTGTGACTGAGACGCGAGAGTAGGAAGTAGTAGGCAGGATGTGGCAGAGAGAGAATGTACCGAGTGGCCATGGGACACGTAATGGAGGGGTCATTTCCTCACCCGTGTATTTACCGTCTGCTTATGAGAAGGATTAAATCCACCTCTTGTCAAAGAGATTGCACGAGACAAGAATGTGCCGAGTTCTAGGACAGCATTCACACGAATCCCAGCAGGTGTGCCCTCAGTCTCTGCGATCTCTATTGCACACCCAGTGCTCACATGAATCCCAGCAGGTGTGTCCTCAGTCTCTGGGCTCTCTATTGCACACCCAGTGCTCACACAAATCCCAGCAGGTGTGCCCTCAGTCTCTGCGATCTCTATTGCACACCCAGTGCTCACACAAATCCCAGCAGGTGTGCCCTCAGTCTCTGCGATCTCTATTGCACACCCAGTGCTCACATGAATCCCAGCAGGTGTGCCCTCAGTCTCTG